ACAGTACATGCTTTTAGATGATGTTATGGGCAGTACATGTTTTTAGGTGTTGTTATGGACAGTACATGCTTTAAGATGTTGTTATTGGTAGTACATGTTTTTAGGTGTTGTTATGGGCAGTACATGTTTTTAGATGATGTTATGGGCAGTACATGTTTTTAGATGTTATGGGCTTTACATATTTTTAGATGTTGTTATGGGCTGTACATGTTTTTAGATGTTATTATGGGCAGTACTTGTTTTTAGATGTTATTATGGGCAGTACATGTTTTTAGATGTTGTTATGGGCAGTACATGTGTTTAGATGTTATTATGGGCAGTACATGTTTTTGGATGTGTTATGGGCAGACTTGCTGGAATCTGAGTGTTATAGAAATGGTTTCAGTACTAGGCATACAAGTTTATAACAGTAAACTGAATATTTATATCTGCGTTTTTATACTAGTTACTATGAGGAGGATGAGATTTTCAACTCCAACATTATAACCCTTGTCTTTACCTGGGTGAGCAAATTAATTAGAGAGGAATCAAGTAATGTGTAACTGATGAAATTAACGTGTGTTTATTGATTAACATGTTTGGTGAGGTATACAAGCTAGTGGCAGACTGACTGAACTGACAAAACTAAAGTCTATAGTAGATTTATGTAAAAAATTGGTAAAATTATACTTATGTTAATGTGGTATCAGATGTGGCCCTAATTGAAAGCTTACTGTATATTGGTTTTTAGTTGATGTACTATTTAAAGTGGTTCAAGTTAAATCTAAATATTTTATGCTATTTGTCTATTTATTAGATACGTAAATGTAAACACTTAGTTTATTTGTTGGTCCTGAAAAGGAATATAATTGTAAGTATTGAACTCCTATTTCAGGTGAAATGGACCATTTACCAGAAGTAGCCTTCTACATGGTGGGACCACTTGAAGAAGTTATCAGCAAAGCTGAGAGACTAGCAGAGGAATCTTAATTTTAAATCCTTGTTTAGTGTTAGTTCAGGCCACACCAGAATCGATCAATAGTTGGAATTATCATACGAGTTGTTTATATATCAGGCTGGATTAAAATATTTTAAATAATTTTTTCATTTTGATAATCTACAGATAGAAGAACTGTATGTTAGTAATGAATAAAACAGTTGATTTTGGTCTGAATTGTTTGTTAGTTTAATCCGAATCCTAATTCCCTCATCTTGGATCAGTTATAATTTAGTGACGTTATCAGAAGAATGGCACTGTGTCACTTACAAAGTTAAAAGATACCCTTTTTCTATAATTGTTAAATTTAAATCATTCTTCTGCTTGGTAATCATTTACTCATTAGTTTACTATCATCTTTATAACTGATAGCACAGATTTTACTAACCATAGTAGCGAGGGATCTTGGTACAAACAAACCTACTTTACCCCACTTCTTGAAAAACTATACTCAAAATTTGAAGATTGAGTGACTTTACGATACTAGATAAATTATTAAGGTAGGCACTGGTTCAATGTTGCCTACCTTAATAATTTATCTTGTATTGTAAAGTCACTCCCACTGGTTCAATGTTGGAAGTGACTTTACGATACTAGATAAATGATTAAGGTAGGCAACATTGAACCAGTGGTAGTGACTTTACAATACAAGATAAATTATTAAGGTAGGCAACATTGAACCAGTGGGAGTGACTTTACGATACTAGATAAATTATTAAGGTAGGCAACATTGAACCAGTGGAAGTGACTTTACGATACAAGATAAATTATTAAGGTAGGCAACATTGAACCAGGAGAGAACGCTAGAAGTCTGGTCTTGAATTGCGATGTTAGGAATCTTTGATTTGAAAAGATAAATTGAAGTTTTTGTCGAAAGCATAAGTTGAAAAGTTAAGCTTATAAATGACATTGTTATAATTACATAACTGTGTGTTTGTTCATTTTCACGCAAACACTATTTGACCAAGCTCAACCAAACTAACATGCCTCCTTTAAAGCCTCTTGGGGAATGACATAAAGGATCAGCATTCGAATCTGGCCCCATCTGTCATTCCCTTTATGTCCATTCCAAGCATTGAACAAGTATGGCAGTTAGTTATATAGTACTAAAATACGGAAATAAAATTCTGTATTTTTGTATTATGCTTGATTTCGTTGGTGCCTTGATAGTCTTTAACTTCTTGACAAGTAAGAAAATAGCCGATTGTAAGTTGTTATTAATGTTATTGAATGGTGGTATCTTAGTAAGTACTTGGAAAACTGTCCAAAGAAAAAATGGGTTAGGCTTCTACCTTACAGATTATATTTTATCTTTGATAAAAAGAAACAAAATCTGTAATAAGATCATTACACAGTTGGTCCCCTGTATAATATTGAATATTATATGCCATAAAATTATTCAATTAATTTACTAGATGGTGAGTTAAAAAGGACGAAAAATTGTGATTCATTCAGCTAAAAAGACAGAATCTGAGTTGATGCAAGAAATCTAGGTCAGATCTGAACAACTTAACTTTTTTCACTAACAGAAATCAAGAATCGCGAAAATTTTCATTACTCTGTAACAACAGTAAGATGTTTAAAAGGTAAAGATAGTGTAAATTGTCACTCTCATTGTTGAGAACAATGTTTATATAAAATTATTAGTTCTATCGTTCATAGAAATGATGTCAGTACTCAGCCTGTAACCCACCTCCAACTATCGGCATACTCTTACTATTAGTGGGACTCACTGTCACGTTATATTCTCTTCCATGATTGAAAAAGACAGCATGTTATAAGGTAATATAACTATCATAAAAAGTGTTCTCCTTATCACATGAAAGTTACACTAAGTTTTAATAGTGGGTGTATTAGTTTCATATATAATATAAATGTTGGATGACGAACGACTTTAAACACAAAACACCTAAAAATATTTCTTACTGTAAACAGCTTAGTCACGTCATACAATGATTTTTGTACATCTTATCGGTAAGGTCGAATAGTGAACATTGTTGTTCATCTATGACATAAGCTTATTCAAATGAAACTAACCTCCTTTCCATTGCTAAGAGAAGCCCAAGAGTTGGAGCTAAGTGGTGTTGATGTTGACTGACTTGGAAAGAGTGGTTAAATTTCAGTTAGTAGAAGGCTAAATATTATCGAAAATGATATTACATTTAAAGTAAAAATGAAGAAATCATATTATAGTCTCCAGTTGTTGGAATCTTTCTTTCAAAGTTTATGATACTGTGTTTGAACACTTTAATAAGAGGAGGCAGTTTGTAATCTGTGAATAGTCATTTAGTGAGATTAATAAATAGAAACCACGTGGACATTAGCTTTATTAATATCAAATGTTTTAGGTATAACTTTCTTTGTAGGAATATTACTGTTTATGAATATTCTTACAGTAAATACGTCAATCGTTTATGTAATTTTTTTGGATTTGTCGTTTACACTTACGTCTATATTTATAGTTTATTTGTTTGTAGTTAAGCACAAAGCTATCTGTGCTCTGCCCACCAGTTTTTAGTGTTGTAATTTCTCAGACGTATATAGTTATAATTATTTTGATTGTTGTTTTTACGTGTTTCTTATTATGCTTGATGTTTTTATCTTACCTATATAATGGTAGATAATTTTTGTTAGTCTAAATATGTAAGTTTTAAACATTAACATTTTCAAATTTAGTACTTTACAAAATGTTTCTATATGTAAAATAAACATCATATGGGCCATCCTGTTTGAATTTACCAGCCTATTCAAATCATTAAAAGTCCCATGAAACATATATGCTAAATATGTTTTTCACTTCACATTAAGAGTATCCTTTACTTTTTAAGCAAAACAAGAATACAAATTCTGTCGTTAGATGGCAGGGTATACATTTTTGTATAAGATGTTTGTTGTTTTTTTCTATTTTGCGCAAATTTATTTAATAATTAGTTGGACTAACTCTCCCTTATTTTTAAGAGCCAGTCAACATCTTTTAGCTCCAACTCTTAGGCTTCTCTTACCAACGGAAAAGAGGTTAGATTCATCTGAACATGTTCGCTATTCTAATGTACCGATAAGATCTACAAAAATCAGTGTATCATTATATACATAATTAATTATATACTTTTTATTATACTGTTACGTGAAGAACGAGTTTATCCGCTAGGGATACAAAATATTACACCGTTTCTGATATTGGCGGTAGTGTATCGACGCTTTGTTAATACTTTAGGAGAAAGTAAATAAGAGTTGATACCATTATGGAAATAAAAACAAATGAAATAGCGACAGTTGATTTTTACACTTCTTGATAAATTTTATAACGTCGACTTATCAAAAGTTCGATCGGGAAAACTCTCAATATCACGAACCACGATAACACGAATAATAAACAATCACACCTAACCCTAAAAAACCGTTCGGATAAAAATCACCTTAAATAGTAAATATTCAGTTCAAACAACACTTTAAAACTTTACTATTGACTGTTAAGGCTGTATACATGTAAAATACACAAACAAATACTCATATTAGACTTACACGGAAAAGGAAATTCGCTTTAAACAGCCCATTTTTAATTATTATTATTATTCTCTTGCCAGCCTACAACAAAAACGACTTGGTATATTGCACCCTTTTGTAGAATATTAAATAAGGTACTGCGTACGTAGTAAGGGTATTGAAAAGTGGATTTGTTTCTGCTATATTTACATAAGCTAAAAAAGATCATAAATATTGTGTTCCTTTAAAAAGCTTAAGTACAGGGTGAAACTGGAATTATCAGCCAATAACAAATGAACATTAGATGACCGTAACATTTTAATACTTAATGTGTTGTGTACTGTACAGTCGGTGCCTTTTGGGTGTCAACCTCTATACTATGTATGGAAATGAAAGAGTAAAAAAAAAAATTAGTACAGATAATATTAAATCGTATTACACATATTAGTAGAATAATTACCTTAAAATACATGATAATTTATTTAAACGATGTTTTAGACGAATATATTTAATTTGAAAAGGTTGCTGTTCTACTAATAAAATTTTATACGTACTTAGTGGGGGTTGTGTCTTAGTCTAGGCATATATTTACCTATTGCTATGCATTATATATATATATAGAACTTAGTCACACAGAAACAATAAATGCTCACTATATTCTTAAACAAATCTCCATGGCAATCTCCAGCTGCAGCTTAAC